AAAATAACTTTTGACAATAACTTAAAATTATACATAACAGAAAATTAAAAATGGTTGTTATCTTAAATTATTCGAGTTAATCTGGTGATGGCCACACTAGGCAATGCCTGTATCGTGGCCATCGGAAATCGTATATACCTTAGATCCTTATGTATTCTTTGATCTGTTTTGAGTAATTTTTCTTGGCATTTTATCACTTCAGCACGAGTTTTGACCTAGTGCAGTTCTGTTTTGGGGCACAAGTTCAATTTTTTGTTAGGAAACAGCATGTCAACACACTAGGCAGATATGCGCGGTTTACACTTGACCAGATGGTCAGTAGCGCTCAAAACTAGAATGTCAATAAACTGGGATAATGTAAACGATAACTAGCACCAGTAAGTGCATACAATCTATGACTGGCCAATGCAACAGTACAACTGTACTGGTAGAGTGTGAACCGCGCATTATTGTTATACCTGTCATTAAAAAGTTTTTTTTAGAAGGCAAATGTGCTTTTCCATATCTCTGTTCCTGTTCAACCATTAGATGTAGCTTTTAAGAAATATATATCCAAACGCTTTTAATTTGTAAGATTGATTCTGACGGCATTTAAATAAATAGTATGATTTGTTTATTATGTTTTTGCAATTTTATGTAATGTTTATAAGATGAATGTGCTATTATTTCAATTCATTTTGAGTGAAGTCATATTTTTGATTACTTGCTATTTGTGTTATCATTTTATTGTGTTATCTTTACACATTGGCCAAATAAAGATCTTCGTACAGATAAGTAAAATAATTTGCTGCGTTTGTTTTATTTCTTTTATCGCTTTACATAATTTTGTTATGTAAAATACATGTTTTTTTCAACAATTACATTATGTAATGACATTCACACATACGCACACATAGCGGTATTGTTTTGTTTATTTACAAGACAGGAAAAAATTGCAACTTTACTTCGTTTATGATTTTTGTACTTGTTTATTATTTATAGGTATATTTGGAGATGGATTTACAAGAAATAAAATCAGAGAATAAATGGTATAATAATGTTCATAATTTATTTTCTCCTTTAGCTTCCTCATACAATATGTATTCAGTATAAAACAATATTCTTTGTTAAATTTATAGAAATATATTATTTTAGTATAACGGTTCTTTATTATTTATAAACTTACAAATTATTGTTAACATTCTGATGAATCTTTTTGTATAAAAATAATACAAGCGGGCTCTGTTTGCCGCGTCCAACATGTGCGTGCAAGCTTCGGACGTGCACGTTGGAGGCGGCAATATCCCTTTCATATAGTCTATAACAATTCAACTTGTTAATTGGTATATTACTTACAATAACCTACAGAAGACAATGGTACAGAACAATCCACTGTAGCAAATATAATGGTAACAAAAAAACAATAAAAACACGTAGGCTTCAGTTTACAAAGCGTAGGCACTCGAGATTGCTACTTGATCCTAAACACGTATACATTCTCACCAATAAATACATCGCACATTCACTCGCTCTTCTAAACAACAACGAAATGCGCTCAAACGACCACAAATATATTATATCGGACGGCCTCAAGTTTTAAGACCTCTCTAGAGCACCGGGTCAGTTCAGACAATACATTATACACTATGTTTGTCATTACTCAGTTCACATCGCGCTTTGCACTCTCACTCGCACAAGGCACGTGTCTATCTCACACTCTGTCAGTCTTGCACACAAATGTTTTAGTCTCCGACATATACAACGTATCAGACAAGCGAGGGGGCGCCGGGTTCGTGATGAAAAATTAACCTTGTGCAACTAAACGTGATTCGGTACGTCCGACTGCCGAACACATGGCCACCATTCCGCGAGGGCGGCGCAGGCGGAATTTTAATTAGCAGAACATCCGCTCGTGACTGCTGCGTCGCGCCGTTGCCAACCGTACCCTACGGCCGTCCCTTTCGTACTCGCGGCAACACCATATAGCGTGCGCTCGCTCTCTACTGTTTACGACACGACACCTTGCATCTGTTTATCATGTCATTTCGGCGGATTGTAAAAAAAAAATAACAAATTATAAGGAAACAATCTGATTGATTAGCATATTACGAACAATGGAAATCCGCTTTTAATACAGACGGCGCGGCAACATCGCCGCAACGGGAAATCGGCCGCATGAGTGGCAACGTCGCACAGCGCAGTCAGTTTACAATCGAATAAGTGACGTTGCACGAATATCCTTTCTAGTATTTCTAGTTTCTACAATATTCTAAATGAGACCAACGCAATACTGATACAAGGAAAACTGTAACTGCGACTTACGATAGAAGTTATTACTTGCGCTCGTGATAAGTACGTTCCGACAGGCGCCGCGCTGTTATAACACGGGAGCCTTGGGCATAGGTGTCGACATCACTTGCACCCTCTCACTCTCAAACTTTGACACCAACATCTTTAACTTAGCATCACCTTAACAACTAGAGTTAACTATATATTACACAGTAAAATTAAGATCACAAAACGCTTTGTATGCTGCGTCCGAGCGGGCGCGACTAGCATGGAATGTGGGGGAGCGGCGGCGGCGCGCGCGATCAGAAGTGCGCGTCGATGTGGCAGCCGCCGTTCGCGTGCTCCAGGACCTGCTGCTTCAGCCGGTGCACGTGGTCCTTCAGCTTCACCACCATCTGCGCTAGCTCCGCGTTCTCGCCCTTCAGCAGCTTCACCTTCTCTTCCAGCTTTGAGATACGTTCAAGTTTCCGCCGCCGACACTTGGAGGCGGCCACTCGGTTCCTTTGTCGCTTGCGCTCAAGTTTTATCCTCTCTTGTGTGTCCATATCAATGGGGGAGAGCGGGGGCGAGCTGGAGGCACTGGGCACGGTCTGGGGCTCGTCCTTGACAACGGGCGTGGGATAGCGGTCGCCGGGCCGGTCGAGGTCCGCGTAGACGCGTCGCGCGAGCGGCGCCGGCTCGCCGTGGCCGTGATGCAACTTGTCCAGCGCCTCGACGAATGGCCGCGCGTACATCTCCTGCTCCTCGGTGGGCGCGGCGGGGGGAAACAGCACCGCGCCGCCCGGTGTCGGCGTCGCCGTCGTTATCATGCCGTTTTGAATTATCAGCTTCTCGAGCTCTGGAGAGCCCAGCTTGAGGAGTTGTAGGTCCGGCGAGGAGAGGACTGGCGCGGTGCTCCGTGATCTCTTCCCGCCTCGTCCGAAATCCAGATCTAATGTCAGTGTCCGTTTCAGATTTTCCACTGGGCCGCTGAGGGGATACTGCTCGTCATAGAAAGTGGTCTCCATCCCGTGGCCGGAGTGCCGAACCATGTGTTAGCACTGAACGCCTCGGTATCACTAAACTCACTGCGCGAAGAAAACTTTCTCGTGCCACTGCACACGTCCGGCGCACTCAACGTTCCACTTGTTTCTAAACATTGTTAAGAAACAACCACTGCTTTTATTCCATGACTCAGATAAGCTATTTTTGGCCGTAGCGTGATATTATCGAGCGCTCATTGGAGGAATATGACGTGATACTCGAAGCGGCCTGCCGCTATTGGCTGGCAATATCGTAACGAAACGCGAGGCCACAGCGGGCTGTTTACGACTTGGTGCGATTACTGAGAATCGGCCGGCCCGTGCCCATTGTGTTGACGATAACGACACGATATGTATAGATACTGGATATTTTAATAATATCAAAAAATGTTACATAAATATTATTGTCGTTTTATATTTATCTCATTCATTTGATTAAAATCTATATTTCAGATAACTCACCCAGGTAATTTCTAAGATTGCAATGTATTTTTTACTTCTACATTCAATTACGAAAATTTAACTCGTATAATTTCTACCGAAGCATTTTCTCTTAACCCAAGTTATTCCATAAATATTATAAAGTGAATTACATTTTTATTGCCATGATTTTTTAAATTAATAGTTAAACCATCTTTGAAATACAGAAGTAAAGAAATACGGTGTTATCCATGCACATAGTTAATCTTATAGTTCATAAAAATTCCTTTCAAGATTTCAACATCTATTTTATTTTAGTTGTAGCATCAAACATCAGCAATATGTTTAATTATGCTAATAAAATTTAAAAACATCTAATTTATTTTTGTATGTATAGTGGAAACAAAATGAGTTGGGCAAAGCGGAGGCGGGGTAGCCGCGCCGTAGAGGCAAGGAAATATATTCGAGCGGGGGACGGGGATTGCTGGATCCACTAGTGCGAACAGTCCAATCATATGTCGCCATCCCTTACTCGCAACAGATAGTTCCAGCAATATTAGCAGGAAAATAAATGCATCTTTTCTTTTGCTAATAGTTTTTGGGAACCGATATAAGATTCAACTTGAACTAAGTTACATGATTACTGTTAAATTGCTTTATTAAATTCTCTCATGTTATTTAATTTATAGGTTCGTTAGAAAAATGCGCATTAATGATATGCAAGCTTATAAAATTGTAGGAACTTAGGATAGCCTTCGAATCCCTCTGTAGAGAAATATAGTTAGCTCATATAAAAATCTAATAGTGTTTGCCAATAGTCAAACATCATACATTATAACCTATTTACAAATAAAAGAACTTTATGCGCTTAATAACATTTCTTTATTTATATTCGCTTTATCAGCATATAACATTTATTTTATGTTGATATTATTGTAATGTGCTGCCAATTAGATGTTACATAGAAAACCGTATCTACTCAACGCTAGATGGCGTTGAACAGAGTAATATGTACTCTCGACAATAGAGGGCGTTACTGGTTTTAGAAACTGTTCAGGTTCTCTACGCCAGGAATGGCAATCTATGTCATAGTTATGACAAAAAAAAATGCATTCATAGGGTTTATAGTTCGTAGTGATTTTAGTAACCAATGAAGTGCCTAAAATTTTTATTCGCGTGTCATTGAGAAGCAACAGAGAGAACCGCAATGGGAACATCAACAAATAGGAATAGACCTTAGCGATAGAGTACTTTGTATATTTAAGAAACAGGCCAAAAAAAACAACGACATACAGTCATAATTTTTAATATTATATGTACAATATTTGTCAACGGTTAGTATGGTCACTTAACAGTAACGGAGACGATCCTGACGTCGTCGTATGGCTTGTCCGTCTTGGGGTTGGTTTTCAAGTTGCCGATGTTCTGCACCACCTCCATACCGCGCACCACGCGCCCGAAGATCGTATGCTTGTTGTCTAACCACGGCTGGAATTTTATAAACATATTAATAAAACCATTACCCTTACTAATGTTATAAATATTATAAACGGCTTTACGAATTTTGACAAAAATTGCTACAGATAACATGGAAGAAGGCATAGGTTACTTAACAAATTCATTTAATTTTGTACGAATAAAGCCGCGGGCTAAAAGCTAGTGCCATATAATTAAGTTAAATTTAATGAGGTCGTTAAATGCGAGTGTGACATAAAACATCTGCATTTTTTTATGTCTATGAAATCAGTAGCGTTGTGTGGGCAAAGTTTGCATGGGCAATGTTTGCATGGGCAAAGTTTGCATGGGCAAAGTTTGCGTGGACTCTGACCGTAGGCGCGAGGGTGATGAAGAACTGGCTGCCGTTGGTGTTTGGCCCCGCGTTGGCCATGCTGACGGTGTAGGGCCGGTCGTGCTTCAAGTGCGGCTTGAACTCGTCCGCGAACTCCCCGCCCCATATGCTTTCACCGCCAGTGCCGGTACCTTAATATAAATACCGGTTATAAGCATCGATAATCAGTTACAATAACCGATATTACATTATTTTTAAGCATTATACTGCATCTAACTTCGATCTACAGTTTTTGGATGCCATTTTTAATAATTTCGTAAAAAAGAAAGAATTTATTAATATTCAATATTTGAATTTTGTATTTATCTATACTATTATAATAAAGCGTAAACACACACTTCTTTGTTGCCTAAGATGTCAGCAATTACAGCATCTTTTTGAATAATTCTTTATTTAATAAAAATCCCTACACTTACGTCACGCTTTAAGTAATATATTTTCACGCTATTAAACTTAGGAGGTATATAATTTGGATAAAAACCCTAATGTGGGAAAGAGACCATAAGTTGCTGCCAACATCAAGGAAGCAAGGTTGTCATCATGTCATGTCATTTTCACATTTGTGTAATTGATAATTTGAAATGTAAACAATGAAACAAAATTTTCATAATTTTATGCGGATGAAGCCGCACGGGAACAGCTAGTTTCTTATAAACTTAATAACAATTATAGGTATAGTAGGACCGATTTAAATATTTTGCCATTAGAAATTTACTTATGTAGCTTAGCTATACCATATTTTTAATAGTAAACTATGTGTCTCGTATTTGCATTTCATATTAAATTATGTGAAATAAATTTAACATTCAGCAAATATGTAAATTCTAAGTATTTTGTACCCGTGGGGTCTCCAGTCTGCACCATAAAGCCGCGTATAACTCTATGGAAGAGATGTCCGTTGTAGTAGCCGGTGCGCGCGAGGCCGCAGAAGTTCTCCGCGGCGCGCGACACCTCGCCGAACAGCCGCACGTGTATGTCGCCCAGCGACGTGTGCAGCACTGCCTGCTCGTAGATACGCTGCACGCCTACCAGTATATATTCAAACTTTGTTAATATTGCTTTTTTTGTGGTATAATATACGTATAGTGATATATTTTTATATATTTGTGTATGGTATACTATACAAGATGAATATAAATGTATTAGTTCCGTTTTAAAAATCATTATTCGTTTTTAAATATACAATTAATTGACAAATTGAAATCTACATTATTATAATAAAGCGTAAACACACACTTCTTTGTTGCCTAAGATGTCAGCAATTATAGCATATTTTTGAATAATCCTTTTTTTAATAAAAAGCCCTACACTTACGTCATGCTTTAGGCTATATATTTTTACGCTATTACTTAGGGGGCTAATATTTTGGATAAAACCCTAATGTGGGAAAGAGTCCATAAGTTGCTGCCAACATCAAGAAAGCAAAATTGCCATCATTTTGACATTTGCAATTGATTATTTGACACATGTAAACAATAAAATAACATTTTCATAAGTTTAGGCGGATGAATTCGCAGGGGAACAGCTAGTGTTTAATAAATGTCGATATCTAGTTCAGTAAATTGATGTTATATGAAAATAAAACCGTTTGATCACTTTTGATTAAAAAATAATAATCAAATCCATGTAAAATTTATAAACTAAGTTACATGAATACACCTAAATCATATAGATTTTTGTGCTGCTCAAATATTGTACGTTTATATTTACGAAATTTTTGTGTAATAAATAAATTGTGCTTAAAATCTCGTTGTTTTTTATTATCTTTTTAATTTACGTTAGTGGATTGTTGATGGCCAGTTATTTCATCGAAAATATAAATGACATAAATACTAAATTATTTCTATTTTACTATATATTCAATTTTACGCTATATGTAATGGGGATGTTTCCTAATGTTACAAATTCAAATAAAGTTATGTTTAATATTTTAAAGACAGTATTTTAAAACCTATAATAACATTTGGAGACCTTAAATGTTTGTCTCCATTGAAATATAAATTAAAAAGGCTGCAATATTTTTTACCCTCCATTACTCTATCTCAAACACCAATCAGAGCTCGGTGACGTAGCTTCTTCGCAAACAACATGGCAGTGTGACCAGCTTCAGTGAATGTCAGTGCATTTTGTAGTTATAATTTTTTTTTAATGATTACAATAATTGAGTTTGCGTGTGTGAGGACTCCATTATTAAGTGTTTTTATATTTACGACATATTTTACGAGCAAATTTTTCGATCACTATGACGAAAAAAAAAATAGTAAAAGTTATTTGAATAGCTAATTCAATTTACGTCTGGTCACTTTAAATGACTTTGCAGACCGCGACGCGAGGTTTGTTAGCAAAGAAGTGACGTCATATCATGAGGCGTTTTCGCGGTCTTTCGAGAAGTTGTTTTTAGTGTTTTTGTAATTAAATGTTGCATATATGATTTTATTATATTTTTTTTCTTGTTTAGATATGGTTTATCTACATAATAAAAGCAATTCCAAAAATTAGGAAACATCCCCATTGGATAGGGTAACCGAACATACTAATTTAAAATGTTACTATTTTAGGCTGATCAAAGTTAAAGCTACTTTTAGCCAATTTCCTAGCTACTTCTAACCATTTGTTAGTGTTAGTTATATAAATTCATAAAATGCGTTTCCGAACTACGTAACTTGAGTTTTACTCGTACAAAACTCTGTCAACCTATGAATAAATCAATAGCTAAAGATAAAATAACCGGAAACTTCAGAAACCCAGCATTAATCTTGTAGTAGCTTAGTTTAATTATGTTATTTCTGTGCAAAAAGAATTAAATTGACATATAACTTACCTTGTCCTTCAGTAGCTGATATGATATCCTCTTTAGAGGGCTTCTCGTTGAAGATATCGCGGTCAGCGTCCGGACTCTTCACATCATCAGGTCCGCGGCGAGAGAACATGTAGAACCTGTTCTTCTTGTAGGCGGTGCAGAACAGCGTGGGGTCAGTCTTCACACTCAGCAGCGTCGGGTTCTCTGAACCTTCCATCTCCAACGTTGATGCTACTTTCGATTGATTCGTACGACCCTAAATACAGATTTATCGGAAAGATACACCAATTGGATTTTCAAAGTAAACAACCAAATTAAATATAATGCAGAGAAAGAGGAATAAATAAACTAGAAAAACATACAGATAGGCGTACACTGCGCTTAATTTTTTTTGTAATAACAAACGTAACATGTCAAACATAACAAACTAAAAAAAACTGATGAAAATTCAGTTGTCATAAAAATTGTCTATCTATACTATTATAATAAAGCGTAAACACACACTTCTTTGTTGCCTAAGATGTCAGCAATTATAGCATATTTTTGAATAATTATTTTTTTAATAAAAAGCCCTAAACTTACGTCACGCTTTAGGCTATATATTTTAACACCATTAAACTTAGGGGGTAAATATTTTGGATAAAAACCCTAATGTGGGAAAGAGACCATAAGTTGCTGCCAACATCATAGAAGCAAGATTGCCAAGTTTTGTCATGTCATGTCAATTTAACATTTGTAATTGATAATTTGACAAATGTGAACAATAAAATGAAATTTTTATAATTTTATGCGGATGAAGTCGCATGGGAACAGCTAGTTGTTTATAATAAAATTTTCTTGTGTTACCTGAAATAACGCCAAATGTAGCGGCCTCAAGTTCTCCGGTTTAGCGAGCATGGCAACACACCGGTTGGTGGTGAGGTTTACCAACTTCACACCCAACATCGTGGCGTAGCAGAGGAAGTGGCCGCTCGCGTCGAACAACACGTTGCACAAATTCACTGACTCCGATTTCTCCAACTCACGTTCTGTCGCCATTCTAAATTGTACAATACCAAATTAAAGACCAGTTTTCAATACTGAAACTGCAATTTCACATTTTTATTAGTATAAAAGAAAAGAAAAAATAAGCGACCTTTTTTTTTAAAATTAAAAACCCACCAGAAAGAGGATATTTCCCCTCTCTGTGTCTCCTTCCCTGTCAAATCCATCACAGGACTCAAATTAGACACACACTCATGGATTATTGCACATGGAGTGACTTACATTTGCTGTGGGACGTGTATGGTCGTGGTATTGGACTGCAAGAGAATATTTGTACAAAGTATGTTCTTTTTTTGCTGGTGTTACCAAATTTATATTAAGTTACCTGCGACCAAACTCCATGTTGGGCAGCTGGTGTGCTTGATGCTGCAGGTCCTGGTAGCGCTGCAGACTCTCGTCCAGCACTTTGTGCAGGCGCCCCGACAGGAAGTGGAATACTCGCACCTAAATATTGTACACATAGGATAACAATGTTTTCTGAGTCATTCCTAAACCTGTAGCGCCCCAAGCTGCTAGACACCTCGGATGGTAACCTAATTTGGCCAATACAGTTGATCAGTAAAACAATAGCTGGATAAAGCAACTGGCACAGTGTGAACGATAACCCTTCTTGTTAGTGTATCTGTAGAGATACATCAATTTTTTTTTTCTAAACACCTTGGGTCATCAAGGTTAAGTGCTATGAATATTATTTTGCTATTCGAAAAAATAAAATTCTGCCAAGTTAAGGGCTAACTGTATGTGATTTCATAAAATTTATGACTGGTCATTGCATCTGAACAACTGTATTGGCCATGTGTGAACCTCGCATAACGCTGGTATTGTTTGCAAACCAACGGCAACATCATAATAAAATGCAGCTGTATTGCCAACATTAAAAAAAACATAGACAAAACCAAGCGACAGATTAATGAAATAAAAATTGAAATTTAGACAAATTAGAAATACCTTTCGATCCAAACTGATAGACGCCATCTTCTTACCATCTGGTGAGAACGCAAGCGCGGTCGGGTATGTTTTATTCTTAACAAAATCGAACAGATCCGTTTCCAATTTCGATTGGAATTTCACATTCTTTGGATACTGGAACTCATGTTTCGGTCCAGTCCAGTACTCTATGATTCCCGCTTTATCTACGGAGACTGCAACTTCGTACACTGGGTTGTATACTATAGTCACAACCACACTTTGGTGTAGTGTTTCAAATGTGTGTAATGGTGTACCCGAGCTTTGTGTGCCATCAAATACATAGATTTTATTTGTTGATTTCTCCGATCTGAAACATCAGACATGCAAACTTTTAATATAACAAATTTGCTTATAATTTATTGGAATATGCTTTGATTCCTCATTTGAACAATGCTAGCTTTTTAAATCCATAATATTTTCTATTGCTTTAATGCATTTTTGTAGTTTAGTCTGTATTGAAATAACTCAAAACTCTATTATTATTCTTTACTTCCACGCAGGCGAAGTTGGAAGCAACAGCTAATTATTTATTTATATAATGTTATAAAATTCTAGTATTTATTATTTGGTTTATAAAGTAGGTCAATTTATTACAATGTTATTCCATAAGTCATCCTTGTTGAGGGTAAATTGTGGCCATTGCTTTAAAACTGCTAATTACTTACATAGCTAATGCAGAAATAGGATCACCTGCTGAGTGCACCCATTCTGCGCAGTACGGCTCAAACTGTATTGATATCATGTTTATCATATCTGAAATTCAGAATTAAAAATAAATTAACATCCAAAAGCAAAGTAATATTAAGTATGTTTATAATAAATGTGGGTTTGACAAAGTCATTTCACAAAAACAAATCACAACAACCCTTGCAGGGTCTGAAACTGGTTGGTGCCATGACTGAAAAAAGTAGATGTGAGTAATAGCTGTAAAATAATTAGTTACAATGATGTAATTCACATGTATACTGTAACCCACAGTGATAGATTAAATCCACATGTCTTCATTTAATATGCCTTCCTTCTATATTTCGCCAGATGGATGTTCATGCTTCAATTTCTTTAAGATTATAATGTAATATTTTGTTACACTACTAAATTTTTACTTTCAAACTTACCAAAATTGATAACATCAAAAACTTTAACTGTCTTCTCTGTTGATGTTGTGCACAGCAGTGTACCTGTACTATTAACTGCAACATGGCTGATAGCGGCCAAGTGACAACGGAAGTGTTTGACAAATTCTATACCTTCCTCCTGAAATTAAATAATTTTATATGTTTGTGTTTCTTAACTATAACAAGTTATAAATTAACAATGGGTAATAATTGTTCAATCAAAGTGACATTTACTAATTAGGCTCTAAAATGTTCTTACCTGTTTCTTCCAAAATTTGAGATGGCCATCTTGACTGGCAGTTACAACAAAATCTGTTTTGGTGACAACAACATGAGTGACAACATCTCTGTGCATGTAGCTTTTTTCATACGTTTCTGATGACGGCAGATTTTCCAGGTATAAAGATTCAAATTCTAGAACTGAAAAAGTTTTGCTATATTAACTACTCCGAACCCAATAGGGCAAGTTGCTAAAGTTTAAAATTCTGAATAAACACGATACCTTTTCGTTTCTTTGGTTTCGGTGTAGCAGCTTCTGCTGGCATTGGACCAATCCATTCTTCGCCATCAACTTCCCCAGAGTTATCAGGAGTCGGAGGTCGTTTTTCGGTAGACATCTCAAGAAAACAAAATTATAAAATGCACTGCACAAAAGGAATCTATATTTTTAGTACAATATTTTAATGTTCCATGTTTTTATTTGTCTCAACAATTTTAACACTTTTGTTAAAATTCATAAGAGTAAGACTAAAGGACAGAAACAAAATTGTTTTTTGTATATTGTGCACGAACAAACGAACGAACTCACGACCGACAGTTGACAAATGACATGTTGCCCGGTGCACATTAAGCCAGTACAGTCGGCAGTCACAATGTGTTTCTGATACCAGTTATTTTTTTTTACTTTTTAATTTGTTCATCTTTTCGATAATTTTATTTGCAACCTTTTACTATGTATTCCAAATCTTGAATTAACTAGACGTAGGACGAACCGT